TATTGAACAGAACTGACCCCAGCACAGACCCCTGAGGGACACCACTGGTGCCTGGCTGCTAGCTGGCTGCAGCACTGTTCATCACCATTCTCTGGGCATGGCCATCCAGCCATTTCGTAACCATTTCGTAAAAGCAAAGAGTGCTCCTGTCCAAGCCAGCTTTTCCAGGAGTGTGCTGTGGGTGACAGTGTCGAAGGCCTTGCTGAAGTCCAAATAGACAGCATCCACAGCCTTTCCTGCATCCACCAGGCAGGTCACCTAGCAAAGCATTCAAGGGCGTGCGAAAGCTTTGTTGAATCCAGACTATCACATACACTACAGATATAATTATCTTTCCAGGCATTAATGTTTTGGAAGTGGTACAAACTTCATTTTGCAAGAAAGGGAATAAATCCAGTTCACTGCGATCATTATGAAAATGCCACTTATTTTTCAGGGGAGCAGTGGTGTGGAATAGATTTTCTATAATATATCTGCTTATATTACATCAATTTATGATGGACAGTTTTAATGCCATTTCTTTCTGCCTGTGAAGAAAAGCCTCAGACCAAATAGATGGAACTAAATGCAGTTGCATTTCATCCAGGCTTTTCTTTCTTTTCTTTGAACAAACTTTTTATCAGATATTTCCCAAAAATGTAGCAGATTTCTGACAAAGATACTGATACAGAGAACTGTCACCTGCTTTCTTTTTCGTCACAAAAATCCATCAGGAAAACTGTTGTGTGATTTCACGATGTAAGAGTTTCCTTGATGTGCTCTTATCCAGAAAGAAATGCATTTGTATAGTTCATGATCTTTATAAATCAAAGCATAAAACTGTGGTGAGATTTTCTACAATGATCAAGAAAATTAGAATAGCAGTGAAATTTAGAAGAACACATACTCCTTGAGAGCAGGAGAACAGGAAAAATCTAGTTTGATGCAAGACTTTCTAATGTGGATTATCTCAGGTCTAGAAACATGATTGAACATGTATTGAAACATTTTCCTTTAGCAGAAGAGACTAAAGGGATCTCATCTTTATCTAAATGCTTATGTTCACAATATTCTTAATGACAGGATAACTTGGAAAACTTTGTCACTCTGTCTCATCTGGTTTTTATTAACCAACATGGTATGAAGTTCCAAGAAGTTTTATGTATAGCCTATAAAATTACAAAACTATATGACCCAGATAACTTTCTACTAAGGATTTAAGTATCTAAGACATTGCATAGAATGTGACAGCAGTAGGCTTCACTGAAACATTTGTGGTAAAAGATAAACAACACTACAGAAAGCACCATTTTTATTCAGCTACTGAGTGCAAACAAAATGGTGTTGGTTAATTAACATGTGGTGCATCCCACACAACAGCATATCCACTCGAAGTGCCATTTATTTAAACTTTTCCAATCTGTGTCATTCCCAATAGAATTTTTATTTTCCTGAACCATTCTTGGACATGAATGTTTTATCTGAATTAAGAAACAACAGGTGCACCCAAATGCTCATACATGTATGCACATACCTATATAAATTATCACAGGAAATAAACTGTTCTTTCCTGTCAGGTAGCAGAGGGTCAAACTTTGTGATTGTCTATTCTGGTAGTAAAGATTAAAATTCACCTCAGTAAATTTGCCAGCCCAAATGCTTTTCAGCACTGTTTTTGCTTTAGGGAATAATGTGGCTTAGGAAAGAGCTACAAAGGCAGGTTCAGGTTTTCTTCTCTCTCCCACCTACTCTGGATTGCCTAAGAGTATGTCACTAGTAATGAAGCAAAAGACACATTTATATGGTTTTATGAGCATCTTATACATAACTAAGCTAGTTTTTGTAAAAAAATAAAAGTCATTTGTTTAAAGCATCAGAGCAAATCAAGATGGTAAAATGTCAAACTAAATCAAATCTCAATTCCATGCATGGTAGAAAAATACTGTATTACCAGAAAAACTTCCCTGAATAAAATATGCTGCACAGTCTCAAATACATGAAAAAATGGTTAAATATAAAAATAATGACAATTTTCATGGCAAATGTCTGATGTGTTTACAGCTGGCAACATTCTTTTATGTGTCATACTAACTATTGAAAGTACAAAAACAGTAAAGAGTAAGACATTGAGAACAAGGAATGATAACTTTTAGCAATCAGGAAAGATCTAGGTCTGAAATTTCCTGCAGTTTATGGCTCGTGCAATAAAAGTTTCCAGTTCATTCCATTCAACTATCAGGACATGAATCACCTGAAATCTCATATCATGTCAGACTTCCCAGAAATTCTTGATGTCAAATTCTATGTTATTCATTTTTATAAATTTTCTCATGGAAAATGATTTTATTTCATATGCTTCTGGAAATAAAACTATTATGAAAGAAGCTCTAGACCTTTCCTAATGTTTGCAGTTTGGGAAAAAGAAAACTGTGAAATGAAGCTAAATAAGTGGATTATTTTATACTTTGCCAAAACACTTGCTTGAGTGTTGCTAGGATCATTCTGTTCCCTGATCTCCTGAGAGCTGAGAGATCTTAGAATGAGCGATAAAAATAATTGCCTCAGAACCACTAAAGACTGAATTACATTTCCTTTAGTTTTCATGAAGCTGTCCTGAGCAATAGTCAAAGAGAAACCCCCAAAATACCAGTGAAAATTATATTTTCCAGAAGGAGTCCTAAAATATCGCAAGAAAGTGGAGAGTCTGAAGAGCTCTCAGGCTACACAAAACCAAAGATGCAGATGTTGTCATGATTAAGAGCATTGAGGCGGCCAAACCACTGAGTCTCAAACTTTTGTCGTCTCAGTTTTAGCTATAATTTTCCTCCTTGACCTGTATTAGAATTGCAACCCAGGGTAGGATGCCATCAAGAAAGTACATTTATTGAGGCAATAAATACCAGCTTGCTCTCTGTTTCCATCACTTTTTCATAATGCAGGGAAAATCACAGCCATGACTTTTTTTTTTGATGACACAAACCTGCTCCATCATAATTTCCACTATAAATTTCATTTCTCATATAAAATGTGTATTTAAAGAGCCTACAATATTTTTAATATTTCTTATGCAATCACTACACTGAAGTGTTCTTTACATTACTATATTAAGACCAGGTTCATGATTTCAGTCAATTAATCTTGTTGCTTTGAAATGTTGTTTGATATAAGCTTTTTTGGGGGTGGGAATATGGAATACTTACCTATTTGTTTAAAATTTAACAATTGTGGGGTCTTTCATATTTAACATCAATCTGTCCTTTCAAATATTATTTATTTTCATAGCTCTGCATGAAATATGTCTCTTATTTGCCCCCGTGCAGTCAGTGATAGCATTGATTACAAACTAATATTTAATGAAAATATTATTAATATTAATTTTTTATAAGTATATTTAATTTTATGTTGACAGTTCTTGTTTCCTTTTCCTGATTCAATTTAATGATAGGTCACATCAGTGAATAAAGTTGCTTTTAGTGAGGGTACAACATTCAGAACCACTTTGAACACTGAACTTTAGATCTAGATTCTAGAGTGGAAACTGTTTAAACATTAGTGTTGCTCAACTCTATATCACAGCTTTAATACCAATATAACCTATAATAAACCTGGGGATGCAGTCATCAGATACTGGTAAGCGATGAGCTTGTATTTAAAAGTACTCACCTTGAGTCCCATGTGCAGTTTTGAGCACCACAACATAAGGATATAAATTTATTAGGGAGCATACAGAGGAGTGTCTAGTGAAGAAATCATATGAGGAGTGGATGAAATTACCTGGTTTGTGCAGCCTCAAGGAGACGAGGTAGACCTCATTGTGATCTGCAACTTCCTCGTGATGGGAAACATAATAGCAGACACTGATTTCTTCGTTGTGCTGACCAGTGACAGGACCTGAGGGAATGGCCTGAAGCTGAATCAGGAGAGGTTTAGGTTGGATATCAGGAAAAAGTTTTTCACCCAGAAGGTGGCTGGACACAGGAACAGGCTCCCCGGCGAAGTGGTCACAGCACCAAGCCTGGCAGAGTTCAAGAAGCACTTGGACAATGCTCTCAGGCACAGGGTGTGACTCTTGGGGTTATTCTGTGGAGAGCCAGGAGCTGGACCCAATGATCCTTGTGAAACATAGAATAATAGAATACCCTGAGTTAGAACTCAATAACATCCCTTCCAGCTCAGGATATTCGACCATTTGATGATTCTGTGATCTATCTTGAGATCTGTAAGCTCAGATATCCTTGAATTTAGGAAATGTTCCTTTGGATTCCGGTGGATCCAACCTTGTACAGCACAGCCTTTCCATGTGCTGTTTAAAAGCATCTGCAGACAGAAAAAGCATAACTCTTTTTTTTTTTTTTTTTTTGCTACTGTGAATGTCAGCACTGGCTGGTAGATGTTGTTCAGTCTCAATCTGTGGCAGGCTGCCCTGCTCCTTCTGTGAGGGGGCGTTAAAGCAAATTCTTGCAGCATGGAAAGAAGTATTACAGAAACTACCATTAAAAAGTAGTTGTCCTCAAGCACATAGAGTTGGGTTGCAGACCTGCATTTAAACCACCCTGAAGCAAAACTGCAGATGTTTTTACCTACACCATTTTTATCGTTTCCTTTTAGCATCTTATTATAAAGGATGAATCTTTTGCTCTCCCTTATTAACAACTAATCTGACCTTGTTTATCCAGTGTGAAAACCACTAGAGAGATTGATTTACAAACATGAAGGATTTATTTTGACATACTGGAACGCAGGGAAGGACTCACTGAACTTAGAGGCCATAGGAATATGTCGCATCCAACGGCCAATAGTAACATGAATAATTATTGTCCAAAGAAATCAAACAAAGCATGACAAGAAGACAAATATATACTTTACTTTTTTTTCTTTTCCAGAACCACATAACAAAGAAAAAATTAGTGAATCTGGTGAATATTCTCTCTTTTTTATTTTACCTTTAAACAATCCTATTATTTTAAATTAATTCTTGTCAGAAGTTAATGTTTGATACTTTTTAAAATTTGCTTTTACAGGCAAAACAACAAAGAAAGAAGTAAAAGTACATGGTAAGTCCTGTAAAAGACTATAAGTTTTAGAGTCTCATTTATCTGGTTTGATTTTCAGTTGAGACAGGATTACATAGAGGGATAAAAAAATAAATCCATGAATATAATTTTGCTGGTTTAATTAAAGTTACTTAAGCAATTGAATGGATGTGGGGCAACCATTCGATCTTCTGGAACTGAGATCTAATTAAATGTCTAGAAGAACAAGAGGGGAAAAAATTCTTTATTTCTTCTTTTAAAAGATTTCTCTTTTCAAAGAAATTACAGTAAATGGATGAAGAAACAAACACAACATACAAGATTCAGAATGAAGAGGATAGGAAAAAAAAGTAGGCTGTTTAATTTTCTTTTATGCCAAGCACCCATGCATTTTATTGTTGCAGCAAGGTGCTCTTGTTCCCAAGTGGAACCCACTTCTCCAGTTTATCCAAATTTAGAAGAGGATAAAGATTTTCTCATTTTACAGCCAAGTTTGATGACTCATTCATCAGATGACTCTATTTTCTCAGATACAAATTCGGAGCAAGAAATACCTACAGTAGAAAGTCAATTTGTAGAAAAATGAATCTGTCCTTTTCTGTTACATAAAAAACTGTCACAGTGCTTCAGAATGAAGGTGTGAATAAGGAAAAAAAGAGAAATGCGGTAGCTCAATTAATTTGCTTTTAGTTAATGCAATTGTGAAGAATAGTAAAGAAATGAAACTGAGAAAACTGAAATAAAGGAAGATTTTGTAACTGGATCCTCTGTATCAATTGTAGAAGTTTCAATAAACTCAAAACAAAAAAAGGTGAAAAATTCCTAGCTTCTGCAAATCACTGAAATTGTTTAAAAAACCATTTCTATTGCATATCTTCCGCCTATGTTTAATATATGCTCACTCTGGAGACTATTTTACTCCTTGTCTCATCCCCACACTTGAAAATAGCAGAGCTATTGAAGCTCCATATATAACTTATCTATTGGCCTTGTTTTCCACTGCTTTTAATCTGCAGGTTAATTAGTCATCTGCCATGAGACTATCTAAACAAGCAACATATGTGTGTGTCAGGTTTTGTCTATTAACTCCTGCTCTGCATAAATATGTAGCATATTGACAAAGGAAAGAGGTGGTATGATAAATTTTAATTCATTTATGCAATTTGTTTCTGTGAATGTTTTATTTTACAGCAGGTGTGGAAACTCCAAAGTCAAAAGGTGAGTAATTTGATTGGTTTTGAAAACCAAAATTGAGGAATGCTGCTGTAAACTTGACTGTAATGAAAAAAAATCTGCTTGTGAAAAAAACTTGTAACAGTATGATTTATTTGAAACAAACAGCCTTTTAAATTGTAATGGTGTCTTCCTTGCAGCATCTCAAAGCAGGCATCTTTTCCTCAAATTTTTCATGGACTAACTGTAATTCTCCAACAATCTGAAATTCAGTTTCTAACCTTAACTGAAGCCGTAAGGCTTTTGACAGGCAGAAGGGAGGAGTGACCAATCTTCTACAGAGACGTGACACAAAGAAATATTTCTCTTTTTGCTATTCTAACTGCAGGACAAACCCAGTGACTGAACAGCTGTTTTCTTTAAGGAGTTTTGCAGGGAGGCTTGGTTTAACAGGTTTTGTCTACTTTTCATACATGAATTGTTGATGGCAGGAGGTGTGACAGTATCAATGCTTGCTCCAAAGGTTCCTTCTTTCCACAAGGCACAGGGAACTGGGACTGGTAAGAAACATCAAGGATATAAATTCAAGCTGAGCAAATATTTAATTGTTGCATATCAGTGTCTGGTTTTTATGTACATACAGTGTAAGTTGCTAGTTCCAAATTGCCCTCAAGAACATTACAGGTTTCAATTGTAACTTAAAAAAAACCAGAAAGTGGAATGTTGGGTTGCAAACTACCCTTCACTCTTAGTCCATGTTTATCCATGTCAATGACCACCATACTTTTATAAACATCCCTTTTCAGACAAACGAGGGTGGGGGGGAATGTTTTAGGAAGTTCAGTTAATTAAGGATAAGTAGAAATAGTGGACTTCCATTACATAATGTAGGAATAATTCTGTTATTTATGTTGTCAAATGAACAGTCTCACAACTGAAAGTGTTGGCCTCAGCCACCACTTAGTTTTACCATAGGATCAATCTAATATTGAACCTGAAATTGTTTCCCAGTGCCTAAGTAATGACCACTTTGTTTTATTCTTCATTAAATAAAAATGATCTGATTTTAGCTCTGGGGAAATTGTTGATTTCTTAAAAATTTCTTGTTAGCAAGTAATCTAAATTTAACTTTATGTTGCTAATTTTGAAACTCAAACATAGCCTGTACTCCAGGGGGAAAATCATATTTATATGAAAATGTTATAGCTGTTCCTTTTGCTACTTAATAAGAATCACAAAGAAATGCTGTTATTTTCTTCTATATTCTGATGCAGACAAATTCTAGTAGTGTTTAATAGTAGTCATTTTTTAGTGTTTAAACCTTTCTTTAAGTCTGAAGAAAGTCATAGCTATCAAATCCATATTTCTTGTTCTGCATTGTTGTTATTATTTGTTTCTCATTTTTCTGCTGTTAGTCCTTAGATATTTATTAGCACTCTGGACACAATGTGATTTTCAATATTCAGTAGGTGTTGACAAATGTAAAATTTTTTGTGCATATTCATGGAAGTCAAAAAATTCTGTTCTGAAAAAAAGAAAGGCTTTTGATGAAATTCTCTTCTTTGGTAATTAAACAAAATTAATCTGCTGGCATAGAAGGAGGTCTGGGCCATTCCCACCAGCCTGTACTTCCTATGAACTATCAAACTCACATGGAGCTTTTTGTATTTTCTCACAAGCCACTACAGCATGAATTTTTTTATTTCTCCATATAACAGAAGAGTTCCTAACCATAACATACACTTCTTAGGCTTATGATTTCTTGATTTTCTGTAATGTCACAATGAGGAGCCTCTGACCTCAGGGTTCAGTTAGTGAAATGTTTTTTGTTTCCAGTGGGAATGATTTCTTTCATTCTTCCATCACACTAAGCAAATATCTCAAAATAGCTTTAAAATCAGTGACATTTTAGAATGCATATTTTTGATGTAGATGCTAGTTATGCAACCTGTCTCTTTTGGGATAAAAATATTCTGACTAATTTGATTTTAGCCTACAACTATTGAGACTGCACAAATATTTGACTGATGAATTGCTCTCGTGGCCACTTTCAGCATAAAACAATATCTGCTGAATTGTCTCTCATATGTTTTGCAAGATCTTGTGATGGAATCAGAGAAACAATTATAAAGTAAATTGCCAATTTGATCTGCATTATGCCAAGTTGTAAAGAATTTTGCTGAGAAATGATAAAATATATGTGGGAGTATTATTCCATTTATTTAATCTCTTTTTTAAACTATATTTTACTGAAAATATGGTTCCCTGATGAATTCCTGGTTTTACCTTCATTTTATTTCATATTGTTTCATGAAGGAGTTTTCATGGGTTTAGTTTGGGATTGCGGGGGGGGTAGGGTGTATTTCTTCTTTTTTTTTTTTAATGCCTGCCATTCTACAGAGAAGAAAATTATAATACATTACAACATTCATATGGCTAAAATATCAGCTTTTCAAATAGGAAATACTTGGAACAGGATCATTTTTCACAAAGAGATCAACTTTCAGGCTGCCATTCAGAAGGGGCAAGAACTTTGAAAATGCCAGTGGAAGGGATAACCTACTTCTTGACCTACTCAAAAAATGTGTCTCTGTTCTGATAGAAACAGAGACAACCACATATTCTGAATCTTATTCCAAACACTGACTCTACATGGACGAGCTTCCTGTTTATGGAGATTTTCGAAGTGACAAATATTACCTTGATGACAAAAGACCTCTCAGATTCACCAAAGCAGCTCACGCCTCTCTTCTGAAAAAGCAAAGGGAGCAACAGAATGTCCTGTTTGTCCTCCCCTCCTGCCATGTCTAGATGATGTTACCTGGCAGTTCCCAAAAATTACTGGACCTCTGCTCTATCTCAACAATTTCTTCTTTACAAGCACTCACTCACTCATGGAAATGGTGTTGCATTGCTGAATGTACTTCTTGCCAGAATACTGTTACATATCTACAACTGGTTGTTATAGCAGCCTTGATGCTTCTCAAGGATGGATGGTTCCTTCGTGATAACCACACTCCTGGTCTACCACCACCACATACATTTGATGACTAAAAACCTGATTTTCTCAGAAAGCTGTGTTGCTTTTCTAACCAGCAGTTCAGTATCCAGAAAAAAATATTTTACTCCATTTTAATGGAATGAAAGTATTTATGTGATGTGAGCAGGTGAAAAATTTTACAGTAATTTTACAAACCAAAACTGCTTTCATTTCAGCTCAAAAGGATAAAAACACTTTGAAGAAAACAATAGTTCTCAATAGCTCATTTAACTCATCATAGCTGCTTTTGCAGTTGTAATGTTAAAAATATATTTTGAAAGGAGTGTGAGACAGTTTTCTGATACCTCTTTTCATATGTTTCTTTCCATATTCAAATAGGCTTATTCTTCAAGATATTGACCATTTTAGAAGCATTTTAGAAGCATTTTAGAAGCACCATGATATTGATTTGCTCAGTGACAGGGCTCAGTCCTCAGATTCATCTTGGCTTGTCAGAGTCCCGTTCATGGTTAGTATAAGTAGTACTGCTGATCTAGGCCCAGGTAATAGGGATGATAATATCACAGGTCTATAATAACTATTCAGGGTCTTTGGTTCTTTTTGGTTTTCTCCGTGTCCATGAACAGCAATTAAAAATTAGGTACATGGATAAAAATTGAATGCTTTTTTTTTTTTTTCTTTGAGGATGGAGTCAGACATATTTTAAACCTAGATTTCATTTTCAGGAAAATTGAAGATTATCTTCAATAAAATGAGTTCCCTGAGGTAACTGAGGTGCAGAAGTGCAATATTGCACTGTTTACATGGAGCTTGCTCACAAACACCTGCTCACATCACAAGGGAGTAATTGATGCCTGTGAGTGGGTTCATCCCACTCAACAGGAACCAGTTCATCTATCGACACCTGACTTTTCACTGAATCTCAGGTTCAGAGAATCCAGGAACAGATCATTCCTTTGGCCCCCAGCCCACAGCAGACATTGCAGACAGGCCATAGATAACTGAGCTGATCTATACGAGCAATCATGCCCAGCAGTTCCAGAATGCTCTTGAAAGGATGTTCTGGTGGTGCCCCTGGGGCCAGACTTGCAGTCCAGGCAGCAGGGAGGCAGTGAGCACACATGAAGGTACTTCATAGGTTCTCTGAATTCCCTGACTTTCTCAGTATAAATAGTGATAACAGAACATGACCCTCAGAATTTACTTTGTCTCTAAAAGCCAGACTCATAATTTTCAACTGTGATTAGTTCTAATAAAATGACAGGGTGAAATAACAAGCTGAGAGGTTGTTATATGTGCTAATGACCCCGAAGCTGCAGACATTCTCTACCAGACGTACATCCATCAGACATAAATTAATTACATTAATTTACATCCATCAGATGTAAATTAATTTTCAGTGTCCACTTTACATCCTGCCACTTAGGCTGATTGTTTGCTACTTTGAAACTATGACAGTGAAGCTTATTTTCTTAATGCCACATTTTTTGTCTCAAACACTGCAAGGCTTTTAAATTAAACAAGGATTTCATTTAGCATAATAGTTATAAATTATGGCTACAAAAGCTTGGTTTCACAGAAGTGAAGTATTGGAAGTGCAAGTTACAGCTAAACACATATATTTATAGATTTACAGCATTTAACCCCAAATAATTAAATTAAATAAGAAATATATATGTTGCCCTAAAGATATAATCTTGTACATCACCAAACCTGCAGTGTAAATTGTCAGAAACTATAAAAGATTCCCATATTTATGTGAGCAAAGTCTAATGGTACCCCTTCTTGCATTACTTCTTAGATAGTTTCATCCTTAATATCCCTTGTCTCCCAAGATGTGTAAATGAATTTACAAATTGTGCTTGCCAAGCTTGTGAATAAGCAATTGGATGAGCCCATGCATCCTGACCTGGACTGTTACAGCTTCTTCCCCTGGTGTCAGTAAAGGTTAAGCAGCCCTGCTCCATAAGTGATCCAGTTCACACTTCTTGCTTGCCCACAGAAATCTCAGTATTCAGAAGGATCAAGTTAGAGGCCATAACATACAGTTCATCTGTGGCCTGCCACCTTCACTGAGCCTAACCATGTGCTTAAGGCTGAGCACATGGGGGAAAGTTTTGCTGTCTCAGGGATGGAGAGTGGAGTTTTCTGATGGTACAAACAGAAAACCGTGCTTGCATGGGGAGTTCTTGAATGGCTGGGCTAGGTAAAGGTCTGCTTGCTTTGATCTCTTCTCCATTACAAAATACATGCTTCAGTTTAGCCCCTGTTTCACCTGGCATGACAGAGTCATGTCATGGTTTGGGTTGGAAGGACCTTTAAAGACCATCTAATTCCAAGCCCTCTGCACTGGGCAGCCACACCTTCTGCTTGATCATGCCCACTTTTTATTATCTGAAAGAAAATAAAAAAAAGAAATCACTCTTTCAGACAGATAAGAAATATCTATTATGTATTCATATCTTGGGGGGGGGAATCTCATGATTGGAAATATTTGAAATCTTTTGACTCAAAATAATGTGTAAGCATTTAAGAATAACTTTGTCTGATGTAGCAACACCTCTGACAAGAAATCTTCCTTAAACCATATCTTTTATTTGCAGCAGGACTTGAAAAAAAAGAAGCAAAAACAACAAAGGCAGCAGTGCAAGGTAAAAAGAAAACAAAACATGTTGGCGTTATCCCTCTTAAAACACAATGGCACAGAAACAATAACCTCAGATTCAGAGAGCTGTATGACAGCAACCTTTAAATCCATTGGTTCAGTGGTATTTTTTCAGAGTTCTGCTGCATTTGTCATAGCAACAGGGAATTTCCATTATAAAACTGGCTTTGTCCCACAAAACTACCACCCCAAGAAAATCAGATGAAAGGTTCTGTGCTGGGACTTAGTGTCCCACTGATTTTGCAAGACGCTTCCTTCCCCTGTAGCCTGGACAGGTATCAGCCTTTGCTACTCAGTCTGACAGAGTAACTTCCACTGAAGTAAAAGGGCAGAGGCTCTCTAAAATCAGCTGAGCTACACTTCCTGTCCCAGATGAAACATCAGCCCCCAAAGAGTCACGAAGGTCCACTGCAGAAAATCTCAAAAACTTTTGAGACCAGACCTAGTAGAATTTTTTTGCAAAAATCTTAAGATTGGTATGGATAAGGCTTGAGTGGGAATATCTGAGTGGGAACACTGAAAGAAAGTCTGCATGAATCAGGTGTGGATGGCACATAGTTCAGAGGGACGCAAAATCTATATCCAATGCCCCAAGCCAATGACAGCAGGAATACCAAGGAATAGTCTACACCAAGGACAAAACTAAAGCCACTGAGTGAATGCAAAAAGAGAAGGATTGATGCCTGAAACCATCTAAAGATGTGTCTTTTCCTATTATATGCATTTATATTATTTATTATTATTATTACCTTCAGCATTTTATCTTCATACTTGCTTCTTGTACACTTGTTAAATGCAATCCATTCCTTTTTAGGTTGGTATGGTAAGAAGCAAAGTAATAAAAAGGGTGTCTAAATCCCCAAAGCTTATCAGCTCAGGCTTCCTTTATGTGATTGAGGTGATTTTTATACTCTTGCTCAAATTGGCAGCTAGAGTCCTGATGATGAACTTGCCAGTAATGTTAGTATAACATGTAAGACATGTTTACTTGTGTAGCTTCAGTCAGTCAATCTATTATCCCTTCCTTTTCTTCAGTTTAAAGCTTCAGCTTTACTCACAATTACTCAAGCCAGCACAGACACCCTGCAGCAGCTGTCAGCTGCTTGGTAGTTGTCATGGAAAATGTTATAATTAGGTGGGCCTTGGCCTAGATTTCAGTCATTGTTAGGCTGGGTATCTTCACATTATTTTCCATTGCCACACAAGTGCTTCTCCAGACATCCACATTGCTTCCTCTCTTTTGTCTGTCTCATGGAGCAATGAGGTGTGTGGCTGCTGTAAGATTTTATCCTCTCTACAGTGTACCACCATTAGCTAGGATTTTATCTGCCAAACATTTTAACTGTGCCATAAAGAGCACAGACTGAGCAGTACAAACTATAGTTTCACATGGCTGGCATGGAACAGGGTTTTCTAAACCACAGGATGTGATACCCAAGGAACTCGAAAGGGGGGCAAACTGTTTCCCACGACAGCAGCAGCAGCAGCAGCACTGTCTCCCCATGCCAGCACTATCTAGTCTCTCCAAGTCAAAGGCATAAGAGCAACATGTAATGTCTGTCACAACTATTTCTGCAGCTACTTCCCAGCACTGGCAGCAGCTCAGTTCCTCTGATGCGCAGAAGTGAGCACAAACACTTTTACACAGCAATTCCCTCTGCTTCTCATTTCTGCACCCTATATGTATGGAGCTGCTTTGATCACCCAAAGACAAACAAGCAAAAAAATTGCCTTTCTGGATGCTTTTTTAATATTACCATGTACTCATATTATTCAAAAATTTACATCAGAATGCACTTCAGAAAGTAGAGGGATTCAGTCCTGGTCAAAACTGGGACTTGCAATCTACGAAAAACAGTAGAAGAAGAAGACTTGCAGAAAAAATCTGAATTGTTGTAGGCTGGATGTGCTTAGCAATCAGGACACAACTTCATTGTTTCAAATAAAGTTTTAGTGATTATTGCAACTTTGACCTCAAACCCCCACATCTGGAAGTGGGCTGAAAGATTGTAGCAACATCTCAGTTCAATGACCTTTTATTAGTTGAAAAGCCAACCCACAGGTAAGATTTTTAACTGTTAGAAGATGAGCAAGAAGGCACTTAACTTTAAATCTTTGAGCTATTTGAAAAATGTCATGCACAAATATCACATGGTTTCTGGGAAGTTAATGCCTGTTACTGAGAATTAATATTTAAAAGAGATGATAAAAAGGTAGGTTTTTTTCCCTAGTGGTATCCAATAGTACTAAGAAAGGAGACTTGCCATCAGTTAAAAAAGATCATATCAGACTAGGGGGTTTCATGTTCTTTGTGTGTCTATAAAAGGCAATAGGTGGGCACCATGAACTTTATTCACATATTCTGTCAAGAAACAGTAGAGGTTCAAGATATATTAAAGCATTAGGGTCAACATGCATTTAAATACATTTTCATTAGTTGATTATATTTTTTTTAATTCCCCATGTGAACATGTACTCTAACATTTCTTTTTTCTTTTCTTTTTCACTTTTGTTTCTCTCCCCTTCTCTTTCTCCAGATAAACCAAAGACGAAACAAGGAAGTAAGCTACAGTTTTACTTAGTAAAGTAACATCTTCCACAAGAGTTTGGGTAACTGTGCTCTTAATAATGGAAGTGTACAATACCTTTAATTTCTTACCAGTGGGCTTCTGAAAGTAAAGGCTTTATGTCATGCTTTAAATTGCTTATTTTGACTGGAGCTCTGTCTTCAGCTGTCTACTTTTGTTTGTAGAGAGTCTTGCACTGAACATGAAACCTTGTGGGAATTTTTCATTATGCACGAGCACAGCAGAAAATGTTTTTCAGTTTTCCCATTGAATTTTATTTCTCTTTATAGAGTCTTTTGTGATTAACTTAATATTTAAAAATTGGAAAATATATTTTTATTGGGACTATGAATATGTCTAAATATGTCCATCAAATATGCTTACAGATATCTGCAGTAAATTGTGTATTTTCTCATTTTGAAAATATGGGACTGAATAATGAATTGGTGAGCACAAAAAATGAAGGTCAAAGCAGGAGAGCAGGAGTAGTTTCTGAAGCAGACATCTGAGGTGTAATGAGGAATAGAAGAGACAGCTTTATTTCACTAAAGTTGCATTTTTGACCTTGTTCAACAGATCTCTTTCCCAAGTCTTCTCCTTTAAAAATTACATTGTATGGAAGTATCTAGTATTGCCTTTTTATAAACACAATGTAGAAGGAGAAAAATAATGAAAAATTTATCTCTTGACATCAGTCTCAACAGAAGAGGTCTTTCAATGTCAACAGCAAATTAGGTTTTTACACTTGACAGCTATTTCTATCATAAATAACAAGTTATTATTGATGGAGCCCTTCCATTCAGATTCCCCAGCACCTCAGTTTGTCTTAGTCAGACACAAATACTAAACCATGAACAAGAAGATTTATTGATATCATGATAAATTGCTATCGGGCACAGCCTATGCTTTTATAATAAAAGAGACAATTTGTAAACTGTGTATCATTAAGGCAGTAAAAAATTACCACTAAAACTACCTACTGTAGCTTATACAATTTTCATATTTATCTATTAAACACAACCTCCATCTCCTAAACACAAACTTCTCCTCATCAGGAGCCTTGACTTCTTATCCTATATGTAGAAACCAAGAGGGTCTTCTAACAGTTTTGTTTAATATCTCCTGGCACTGAATTGCTGATGAGTGTTTCAACAGAAGGAATTCTTGCTTCATATGTGATGGAGAACCTCGTATTTCTTAGTTTTTCAAGAAAACACCTATTAGCATTTCTCAGATGACATGTACAAAACAGTTTCACTAGCAGCTGGGTGGTTAAATTACTTAAAATATAGGAAGTCAAAATCCAAGTCTCTAATCTTTTTGAATTAACTGTTTTGGGACAGTCTTGTCTGCCTTTTCTATTTTGTAGTGGAAAGGTTTGGAGACCTTTCATCAGTCCTGAATAATGATCTTGCATTTTGTCTGAAACTGAAGTCTTTTCTCTATCTCATGCAAATTATTTCTTATGCTTTTTTCAGGGGACTATCCTTCCTTGAGGAAGGCTTGTGTGGCCTAGCAATCTTCTCTACCTGTCTGTAGGCAGAATAAAAGAACTCTTCACCCACCTATTTGTCACTGCTGTGTTGGTTTGTCACTTTGGTCAGCATCTGCCCTTTAGAAAAGAATAGATCAAATAAGAAGACCCTTGGCCTTGCTCAGTAAAAATGGTCAATCCCAGATGAGGGAAGTAGGCCACAATCAGCTCCAAGGAGTCAAATTCTGTTTTGACCTTTCTGGTTAAGAACACTGAAAAACTGTTCTTGCCTCATACTAAGGTGAAGTTTGCAAATTTTCTCATTAAATCTACAATAGTTAATCAACAAAACACATTTTGTGGACTGAACTTTCCGGATGACACCTAGTGAATTTTTTACAAATTTTCCAATAACTCAATTTTAACCATATCTTCCAATATACAGTTTTAGTCTCTTGCACTATCTATATGCTTCATTCTCTCCTCTGGTTAAATCTCATTGCTTCACTCAGTTGTGGTTTCTGACTGTCACTTTATTGGTGTGACTAATTCTTTTACAGATCCTGGAAAAGATAAAGAATTGAAATCTCCAGCTGCCACAAAAGATAAAGGTAACATGGCAAGATGAATTTGTATATAACTACAATCGATGTGCATCAAAAAAAAAAAAACCACGGATTGCCATTTTTGTTTTTAAAGTTTGATTTAGTTGGGAATTTATAACCATTATACTATTTCAATAAATTTACTATGAAACTTAATTGGCATTACCTGAATTAAAAGTGCAAAGAGAGCACTGGTTACACGCGTTATGAAATTTTAGAAGGCTAAACTCAGAATTTAGGAACACTTTTCAATATTTATTACAAGCTGAAAAGTGAAATAAGTTTTGAGTGATCTTTGTTCTTTCAACAATTTTTTAAAAATTTGTGGTTTCACTTTGTGATCATGGTAAAACTGATAAAAATTAATTTTGTGCTACACATTTAATTGGTATCTTGTGTCAGTTAGAAATCACCAATTATTCAATCAATCGCTATCTTAGAGGCATTAGATGTTAACTATTTAACACTCTAGCTTGAAGATTAATAAATTATTTTTACAGAACATGCTAAAGAAAAGGAAGGGAAGAATCCTACAACTTTAAAAGAAAAAGGTAAGAATACATAATAAAAAACAGGAATTGCTAAAACCACACAAAGTAGAATGAAAATGATAATTTTTTTAACAGTCATTATCAGTCTTTCTCATTATAAAACTTAACCAAGCATAATTTAATTAGTTAAAATATTCTACAGGATCTACAGCATCAAAAAGGCGGGGGGTAATATAAATAGAATATATTGAGACAATTAAAATTCAGAGTTCTCAAACTTAATTAAATCAATATCGTAAACCTGTGTAACAGTTAAGTACCTTGAAAAGTAAGTCTGAACAATGACAAGTCTTTAATAGGGGCCAGTTAAGAAATTCTGAACTGAATCATTTCACAAATGTGTGAACAAAATAGGAAGAAAATAAGGTTTATGAGCACATGAGTAGGAAACATATTTTCTGTTTCTGTAAAGTTATAGCTAAAACTCCAGCCCTTCATCCAGTCAACCATCTGCAACATAAGAGCTGGTCTGAATCTTTCTTGTATTTTTTATCTTTTTTTTTTTTTTTTTTTTTTTTTTTTTTTTTTTTTTTTTGCAATTTGATCAGAGTAGATGGTTAACTCAGTTAAATTTCCTTTAATCAATTCCTTTATTGGGTGCTTTTTGCACATCTTATTTCTTCCCCCCTTTCTATGGATAAGTTACTTGTGGATAAGTCTTATTTGACATCTTTGGAATAAAAAGATCTACCATATATATAGTCAAGTTAATATTTATTCTAAGTTATAGTCTATAACTATTATAAATCTATAGCTATATATAGATGGATATGGTCTGCAGTATATAGACTTTAGTCTATTACTATTTCAAGTTACAGTCATTCTAGGTGATTTCAAAGAAAGAACTGAATGAAGAGATAAATTCAAGGAGAATTGAAAGGTGACAAAAAACATATACAGCAAAGGAGGAATAATTTATTTCTAGACATATTTTCAAAATCCTAGAAGCTATGCTTATTCACGTACTTCTTTGTTCAAAAATTTAAATTAAATTATGGCAATCTGCAAATTCTATGGTGCATATATTGTTCTGTGTGTGTTCTACTAATGTACACATGCCCCATTTACACAAGCATAGTTATCTGGACCAGAACTGTATATCCAAACTGTATGGGGTCCTGTGGCACTCTCCAAAGATTGCCTATAATTTGTGTCTGCCTCATGTGTATGTCTGCCTGTGTTGTGCTGGAAAATTAAAAGAAGCACGTGACAACTCTGCCCCCTCTATCCCTGCATGGAGCATGTGTATTCAGCCTACTGCTCCTTTCAAAGGATTACAGGGAGGTAGGGAGAGGAGAAAAAAAGAGAGAAGACCCACAACTTTTTTCTCTTTGATAATAGTTTCTTTAGAGCAAATGGATAGTGGTTTGCCAGCACTGAAAAGTTTCCATAGTGTGTCCTTTGTTGAGAGTGGCCACAGCACTGCTTTTTGTCTCCCATTCTCATGTTTAACTTATCAACAACTTCAATTACTAAGTTATTAGTAATTAGTAATTACAGGTCCTTCTAACGTGACAAAGGAGGCTAGACTTTCTCCGCCCAACCTTCAGAAAAGAGCAGGTAGGAATTTCTTTTAAATGTCAATACAGTTGAAAACTTGCTGGTGGATATATCTGAAAAGACATCACAGGCTCCTTACCCCCCCAGTAGCACTGATATCCAGCCCAGCTGAGCCTGTCCCTCAGATCCTGAGAGCTCTTGCTGATGCAGCCATCACTGTTTCCCATAGCAGGCATCAAACTGGAATAATTCTGTGCCTGTGTCCAACAACGAGGATGCTGACTAGTGAGCTGTAGAGCTCAGTTGAAAATATATCAGCATCAAAGACTATAGGAAAAACTTATAAAGCTGTGGGGAGAAACTTCTAGAAACCTTGGTGCCTTTCTTAGTAGAGTATTTTCTTCTTGCATTATGGATTGTGGATCTGCTGCATAAACATATATTTCACATTATTTGTCTCCCATTTCAGTCATCATATCTGCCCAAACTGTGGTTCATAGATTAATCAAAGCCTATTTGCATGCCATTCCTTCCCCTCTCCATCACCTCCTCAATCCTCATGAGTGGGCCTCTGTAAATGTTACTGACAAGGTCACCGGGGACTTCTTTTTACTCTTTGCAACATGGTGTTTTGCAATTTTTTTCTTAAAGTGGATCTTTCTGGAAAATACAAGTATATCAAAGGACACAGGAAAATAAGAATTTTTAAGACTGCATATACTTCCTATTTATGTATCTTGGGAGTTTGTTACTATTCATGTAAACAAAATAAAGGTACAATTCTAGGTGAAGTGTTAAATACTCGTGGTGATTAATGTGCGTCTGGCACCTTATGCGATAAAAGAGCTATCATCACACCTCATTCCCTTTGAAGGATGGGCTAATGAATGAGCAAGGATGATGTCCAGACCAAAAACCTGATCCTAAAGCAGGCTATTTTTCATTAACTGAAGCATAGTGGTTTTATTCAAAGCAGAAAGAGGAAAAATAAATCCCTGAATTCAGAGTTGTTGCTGGGATACTCTGTAGATCATAACCCTACAAAGTTACTTCATCTATTTTATGAGGTGAATAAAATGTCTTCAGTCTTGGAGCCTAATTTTATTGAGAGCAGTTAAAGAGAACACTAGAATAATACATTTTCCACTTCTTAGTGATACAGGACATCTCAAGACTCTGTCTGAATTTATAACTAGCTTTTTAGCTGTTCCCTGCAGTAAAGAAGAGTAAAGAAGCCCATTTGTACTCACGAATATAAAAACTGATTTTCTGTTGACATAACCATATTCAAATAACTTGAGGCCAATGAAACTCTAAGTTATAATTTGCCACTTGGTTTTTGGGTAAGTATCTTACCCAGCTAACCAGAGTAGAAGTTCATTCACTGTGTCACAGTGGCACTAAAAGTTCATAATATTTCATATATAACTCTTCATTGAATTTTTCTAAAAGATATTTGCATTGTCCTGAGTTATTGACAGCATCTATCCTGTATAGGTAACATAAATTTCTTCTCACCCTGTGTTCCATGATTTATTTTCCAAACAAATTCTATTTTTTCTTCTTCTTTGCTTTTGACAAATTTTGGGATGTCTTTGAATATTTTCTTATGTCAGCTATGTGTGGATAATAAACTTATTTATTTTTATAGAGAGATTGATAGGAGAAATAAGTCAGTAGTGTGTATTTCTTTCTTGCCATGTATGTTATAGTATGCTGTCATTAAAGAAACAAATGAGCTGATTTGTATTTTCTGTGCAATACTTACACTTCCTTTAAAGCAAATGTAACATGAAATAATATCTTGCCTGTGGCATTTTTTTTTCTTAACTTGTAACATACTTTTTTCCCTTAGAAATGTAGTTATATTGTGAGCAGTAGCAGTTCACATTTCTGTCTATTTCCATTTATCTGTCATTGTCATTTGCATGTGAACTATATCTTTATCCTGAGGATATCACACACTGCTGCTGCTTCATCATTTTATACCATCATCCTAACCTGACCCAGCTTCACCCCCAGAGTAGAATGTGTGAGGAAAGCATTATGATGAAAGCTGGCTTTAAGTCAGCTTTATGTTTTTTCCCTTCTGGGACCAGTAATAAAGTGGTCATTTGAGAGCAGAAGTTTGAAAAGTCCTCAGTGAGTATGTGTTTAAGTCCTCAGTGAGTATGTGTTTAAACTTCTGAAAATGAAAACATGGTCCCTGGAAGAAAAACAGAACTGGTGATCTCAGTATCCTTGGTTCAGAGGATGGGGAACTTGGTGCACCATGTAACGTGTCCTGTGCTGAGAGTTGCACCCAAAATTTCTAAGACTCAGAAGCGCTGAACCTGCTCTAGGAACTACATATTATAAGACATCTAAGGGAGATCTGCTACATGGATGGCAAAAAACCAGCATGGGCATATGGCACAAAACCCACAAGGCCAAAGATTTGTGACTGTGGCTGCAAGGGTGGCTGCTGATCACTGAGATCACCAGTGTGCTCAGAGTAAAGTGGTCAAGTGGGGAAATGGTTGCCTCAAGTTTTTTCATATGGTCAACACAGAGGTTACCTCAAAGGGTTTCAGGCTTCACACTGGAAGTTTCCTCTCAGTCTCCTAGAGAAGAGTCCATCTGCTGCTGTGAAGACCAGGCTCCTAATTTCATCACCCATCCCTGTGCAGTGTGGTTTCTCCAACAGCTTCAGCCACCCTGGAAGTGATTTTTTTTTTCTGTTACAGCTGACACTTAAATCCAGACGGATAAGTGGATCACTTACTGGTACCATGGCAGCCAAGAGGATGTTGAGAGTTAAAATTATTTTTTAAAGTATCTTCTTTTAGCTTTTTCTGTTTTACTGAAGATTTGGTTTACTTTCATTTGGAATAAATGGCATGGGGTTTTTTTTCTATATGCTTAGGTGATATATCCTGTCAGATGGAATGCAGCTGGCTCTATTTAACATTCTGCAGGCTGTGATATTCTTTCACTCAAACTGCATACATTCAAAAGCCTATCAAATTATTTCCTCACTTTGGAAAAAAACTATTTTCTCCTAATTTCCCTGATAAATACGCCTAGGATGTCAAGAGACTGTTGCTTGAAAAAAAATGTTTAAACATTTAGTTGTTTACACAACATAGTGTATGTTTTTCCTGTGCTTGCTGATCCTGAATCCGTATTCCCTGAAGGACTGAGGTAAAGATATATTCTTCAGACAGAGAAAAGAGAAACTGTCTTTATGAAGTTTTGGACAACACCCAAAGAATTCCTAATCCTGTGTCATTGCTTGCATTTCCCTTGTCTTTTGAATTTCTCTCTTCTGTGTGGTCTCTACAGACAGTAACCCAAAGCAATTTCTATTCTTGCTTTTGCTACTAACATTATTGCTCCTTAAAAATATGACACAGTGTCTAGAGAGGATATAAAGAGAGGTCAAGTTTGCATCTCTTTATGTTCACAATTTTGGTCTTGGTTTTTAAATATTTCTTGAGTTTTCTTTTAAATGTAGAAGGATATTCCTGTTTTCTAAGTCTCAGAAACATAATTATCTTCCTACAGATTCCCTGAAAGGAAAAAATCCCAAGAACACAGAGAACTTAAGAGAAAAGGGTAAGTGAAGAAATCCAGACCTGAATATCAGAACAGTTATTCAGTCTGGAAAGAGCTCTTGAGTAGGTATATAGAAGTGTGGAAAACCAAACCCATCCTGGTTCCTGTTTAGATTATTTTAGCCATTATATTGTTTTTAGTAATATTTGTGCTCTACAGATCCCAGTAGGATCACTAGAAATCATCTGGGCTTCTTTTAAATGTGAATATTTGAATTTATGTCTTGGGAGAAATACTAAAATTTGGTTTTATACCACTTTTGGATGTTAGGGTGTCAAAAATGGGTCATCTAAATTCCATAGTAGGAACATTACTAAAGGGAACTAGACTAAATCTGGTCCATGTGGCTACAGCTCAGGAGTGTGGGTGTCTGAGAACTAAACTGGCTGAGACTACTGACACATCGCGGTGTTTGAGAGTGACTGATATCACAAATTTTTTTGTTAATTCATTGGCAACATGGACACATTTATCTCTGTGTCTAATCCTTTCCGTTGCAAGACCTCTGCTAACTGTTCACACAGGGGTCATGGGTTGCTTGATAGCATTTATTTGGAGCAAAGCCTATCTGTTACAATGTGATGTGTATGGAACACTCTCTTTCTGGAGAATACTGAAACAGCTGAAAACTTTAAACAAAACAGCAAAGGCAGTCAGTACTGTGCCTGGTACCTGAGCTGGAACGGCACACCTGAAGTACAGATTGTTACAAGGTCCCATTTTTTTGGAAGCTGGAGATAGATATTGGATGCAGTCCAGATTACGGCTTCTGAATAGATATAGAACAAAATGGCACACGTCTGCAAGGAATGTATTATTCCTTGTAAAAAACTGTAGGAAATGAAGCCAGGACGTCCCGTGTAGCTGACAATTCCCCTCTATGCTGCTGCTGTCAGTCCCTGTGTCTCACCTGGGCACGAAAAGAAGATCATAGTTTTCCTTTATTTGTGCTTATAGCTTTTAGGGGGCTCTTGGGGGATTTGTTTGTTTGTTTGGTTTGGTTTTTTATCCTTGAGTCTGCCTTGTCAGTTACTACAAAGGGAGAACTATAATATCAGGGGGTTTTTTTCTCTTCTCCTTTAATACTTTGTCATATACTGAAGAAAAAAAAAAAAAGATATAATTAAATCCCTAGACTATTTCGTTTTGACATAAAATATATTAATGTACATTTGAAGGATGAGCACTGCTTTTCTTTTATAGCCAGTGTGCCTGTCATTTTAAAAGGCCATATATACACAGGAAGTGAAATTCTGTTCACGGGCAATACCCATATGGCCTGTTCAATATTAAAAGAGTATTGGAGTCCTGAATGAGTAGCTGGCCCTTTTGTAACTCTTGAATAAAAAAACTCCCACTTACCTTTATCAACAGCCTCTGACTTTCAAGAGCAGTATTCCTCATATTTCAATTGTATCAATGTGGATTAATTTTTATTTGGGTTCAGCAAAAGAAAAAATCATTTATGCCAACTGCTCTGTAGAATTTTTTTCTTCTTTTTAAGTAATTCTTCATTGCCTGCTTGAGAGAGGGCTCCACAGTTTCCTTAAAATTCAGAGAAACTAATGACATTTTGAAGGCTTATTATTTTGCATATCCAAGACTAGAAAGATGAATGGATGACCTTGTGTTTTTTGTCCTGTTCTTTATTTCCATGCTGTTAAATCTATTTAATTATCACATCTCTTTTGCTCTCCACATATCAAATTGTTTGACTTGCTTTCTATTCAAGTGTCATCTTCTTTCCCTAACCTGACTTGTGATAAATGTTAAATGTTTCTTTCTAGACACTGGAAAAAGAAAAGATGTGAAGCCTCCAACAGCCTTAAAGGAAAAAGGTAACTTCTTATAATTATGTGGCTGGCAAATAACAAGCCTTAGCCTTCTGCTGGTATCTCAGTGCAGTTTTTATATATTTTGAATTACAGGCCATTGTCAAAAAGGGACCAAACCTAGATTCTTCTAATTTAAAAGACCTGATATATTGAAAGGAGCAGTGTCTGACATGATTCAGAAATAATAAAGTCATAACACTTCTTATTGTGGTGCTCTTTAACTGCTGCCCGACCTGCACAGCCAATACTGCAGTGGGAGTGCTAGTCAGTTCTGAGTGAATTAGTAACAGAGCTCCTACTGAATGCACATGACAGGCTGACATGATAGGCTGCACAGGAATGAGTGTATGGTTTGACCTGCAGAAACTTTGCCAGCAAATTTAGTGGGAATTATTTTTGGTTTGCTTTCAATTGAAGTTTGTGCCTTTTATTGAATTAAATGGAAATTCTAATTCTTAACACATCTATTTTATGCATTTGGCTGATCTGGTGTTATGCACATTTGTTACAGTACCAATGAGCACAGTGTTATGTTGCTAATTTTCTTCTTTCATTTTTGTGTTTGATTTCTTTTTCAGATTCTTCAAAGCGAAAAGAAATTAAGGCTTCAACTAATCCTAAGGAAAAAGGTAACAATCCCAAGCTGAACTGAAACTTAACCCAAGTTTCAGTTGAGAAAATAAATCCGTTGTTCAAGGTGTCACAAATTAGATCCTAGTTTCTTTGGTCCTGAATGTCCTTGAATGGCATCCTTTGCTGCTGAACATTCTTTTTACCTGATTGAACAAGTGACAGGTGCATATGAGGCTATACAAAGTTGTAGCCGTGGTATTTTATAGACTCTAAAGTCAAAAGGAATTTGTTTCTTTTTTCTTGATTTTGTCTCGTTCTTTCTATTTAAATTAGTCATTTCAGATTGCATTTTACTTTTTTTACATATTATGTGTAAATGTATTACTTTTCTCTCTATTCTCATTATGAAATATCAGCACTAGCCATCAAATAAAAATTAATTACACTTTATAGTACATCTCAAATACTAGGCATATTCAAGCACTGTAATTATAATTAACCAACTATGTTCAGGTTTATTTACTCATATCAAATAAATTCAAACAAAACTTAGTTTACTTTTATCCTGTTTGAATATGGATTAAATTCACTTTTTCATTATAAAACAGTTGCTCAAGTTAAATATGTAAATAATGGATAACGTGGATAAAAATAACAAGTTATTACTTGTTAGCTAAAAACAGTCATTTGAGTCATGGGAATGTAGTAGTCTATCTTAAAATCTTCCAATCAGTTTTGAAAACTGTTTCAGATAATTGAATAATGCTGCTTCCTACCTTTAGATTTTCCCTAAGGAACACTGGAAGTATTGAGGCAATATTTTCTCTGACAAAGTTATGAGAGAAAACATTTGCAAGTTTTTAAGTGCAGCTATTTCATAGTGTATAGCAGAAGAGCAGAAATCAGCTATTACTTTGCATAGTTGTATAATTCTGAATCAAATTAAAGGCTTAAGTGCTACCAGAAAAAAGTGCTATTGAGAGTAGCTCTGTCAAGAAGGACTTGGGGGTGCTGCTGAATAAGAGGCTGGACATGAGCCATCAATATGCTCTTGCAGAGTCAATAGTATCCTGGGCTGCATCAAAAGCAGTGTGGCCAGCAGGTCACAGGAGGTAATTCTTTCCCTCTACTCTACTCCGGTGAGACCCCACCTGCAGAGCTGCATCCAGCTCTTGGGTCCCCAGCACAGAAAGAACATGGACCTGTTGGAACAAATCCAGAGGAGCCACCAAGATAATTAGAGGGATAGAGCACCTCTCCTGTGAGGAAAAGCTGAGCAAACTGGGTTTCTTCAGCCTGGAGCAGAGAAGGCTTTGGTGTGACCTAACTGTGGCCTTCCAGTACTTGACAGGAGTCTTCAAGGAAGATGGAATGAGAGTGTTTACAAGAAAATGTAGTGACAGGACAAGGGGGGATGGCTTCAAACAAAAGGAAAGTAGGTTTAGATTAGATATGGGGAGAAATTTTTACTGTGATGTTGGTGAATAAGTTGCCTAGAGAAGTTGTGGATCCACCCTGGAAGTGTTCAAAGCCAGGTCAGATGATGCTCTGATTTATGTGGCCTAGTCAAAGATGTCCCTGCTGCCATGGGAGGTGGGTTGGAACTATGTTGTCTTTAAGGTTCCTTCCAACCCAAACAATTTTATATTTCTATGAAAGTGAACTAGGGCTTAAATGGTCTGAAACTCCTTGTAGTAGTTAAAGTAGATGAACCTGAATTGTCAGTTCAAGGTCCAGGGCATTAGAAAAATAGGGACACATTATTGTACCATTCAATTCAGTTTGCTTTAGCCAACAGGGAGCAATAACCCTTCACAGATAAGAGTTGGCAAGTGTTGAAAGAGGCCATACAGAGAAGTGATAGAGCCATCTTTCCTGGAAGTATTAAAAAAATTTATGGGTATGGCATTTGAGGACATGGTTTAGCAGTTAAAAATGGTGGTGCTGTTAGACTGACACTTGGACTTGATCTTAAAGGTCTTTTACAACTTTAATTCTATGTTTCCAAGTGTGGGTATATTTTTCTATATTGATTATTGGTTTAATAGAACTTGGTTTATTATTTTAAGCTTGAAGCAAGCAAGGCCTATGGTCTTCCTGTTAGGTTCTTGCACAAATGTCTATGAAACATAGTTAGGTTAATGAACACTTAAACATTAATTAGATCCTTAAGTATTTGACTCTTGACCTTATAATTGAGTTTCTTCTCTAATTCTTCTCATAAATATTTCTGGTTGAAAGATTGATTTATTTAAGTGATAACAAGAATAAAATCGTATTTACTTCAAAAAAACAAGAATTGCAAAGAAGGAATATATGTCTATAAAAGTGTTTTAATTGCAATGCTAATGAATTAGCTTCAGTGAAGTGTCAAACAGCCACCCAACTATACAAAGAGTAAGCATTTTAAAAAAACTTGATTTACTCAGTTTGATCAGACAGTGAAACAACTGGTGAATAACAGCTCCTGTCAAACTCCAAAACTAAACCATTTCAAGAAAGGACATGTTTAATCAAACACTGTGCAATTCCTCTGGCTTCATATGAAGCAGTTTATGCTCAGTATATTTGAAAAGGAAAGTTACTACCCAAAAGTGATTAGCTCTACTTTCTCTCTTTTCTTTATAGTAAAAGACTTCTTCCTGTAGTAGCTGATAGAACACATGCAGAATCTTTCTTATGGTATAGCAGTAGAAACTACAAGCTATGTTCAGAAATGAACTTTCATTTCATGCAGATTTTTTCTACATGGCCTAACTTTTTGACCTACAGATTAAAGCGCTGTAAGAAACATAAAAATCTATGCTGTTGTGTTGTCTTACAGTCTTGTAATCTTATAGTTTCCTGCAAAACATAAGAATGAAGATTTGAATATTTAGTGTGAAAGTATGCTGAGTTTAACTCTACTGAAGTTTAAGGTCACATTAGAGACACTTATGATTGCTCTTTTAAAGAAGGCTGGGTGAAGTCTGAAGTAGAATTGATTGGTTTTATACTTACAGCAGGGTATTTGGATGGGCAGTGGACTCTATCAAACTCTAGTGGAGTTTGATAGCCCTGGGTTTACACAGTCTTTAGCAGCTTCCCAAGTGAGATGAGCACTACCCACTTCAGTTATTCCTACTGGATTGGATACAGCCTTGTATATCATCTGTGGATGTACTTGATACCTTGCACAACTTACTGAGAACAAATGATATCTCACACCTGAGACAGCATTTCTCTTTGACTCTAGCTGACTCTATGAGAATTGAAAATACTTGGATTAAATTCTGTCAGACACACGACCGGGCCAACTACCTGCTAAGTCTTGCGTATCTTAGGTCTGCCCAGTGAGCAGGACTATAGATCCTTCAAGGCTCTGAAGCAAGACTGCAACAGAAAAGTTGAGTAGGAAAGTTGAGCTTGAGTGGGAAGATGTCAGGTTGCATACTCATACATAGTGACACCACTTTTATGTCAACAATAGGATTCAGTAATTTGCTAGTCATCCAAGTTTGTGACACAGCAAATCTTACACATTCTTCCTTTGGAGGAAGTTCAGCTCAGCGACTGCAGGTTTTTAAGAGTTGTTTCTGTCTTTTCTGTTTCATGTGACAGATATGCTGTTTCTTAGCTTCTGAGATTAAAACAAGTACAACATTTCCAAAAGCAAATACAACTAACTCAGTGACACTGAATATGCATGACAAGACATTGACATTTTGTCAGAAGACGGTAACCCCAATGTGTAAAGTGGCTTTAAGCATTCATGTGGGATGCTGTGCATCACTAACCCTCTCTTTCTTAACAATGATAAGTGACATGTCACATACATCAGGCAGACAGTTTGAGAAAAGCCTCTCTGGGGAAAAGTATTCCAGAAATTTTTTGGCCATTGCCCTGTAACCAAGTGTGAGCAGTAGGTCAACTTTAAGAGCACTTTGTTTTTTTAGCCAGTTGACTGTGCATGGGGTGCTTCCTCGGAGGGGACATCTCAGGTTAGACTAGCCAACCAAAAATGCCTTGAGACATAGCAGTGTTTGGATCAGCACTTGCTACTTTACAGAAATCTGTCAAATCCAGTGTAAATTGCAGTAACAGAAGTGGCCTCAGTGCAACCCCTTTGTTATGATAAATACATTTCTGAAATATGAAAATCAAATTTACAGATGTTAAATGTAGAATTATACTATAAAATAAAGAACTAATATGAGAGAACTAATAGAGAACTAAAATGTAAGGTAGATAAATTTGTATAGAAAATCTCAATATCAACCTGTTCAAATGACCCATCCATTACAGAACATCATTGCTTCACACTGTCAGTAAGAAATACTTCAAGAAAATACCAGAGCTTTAAAAGTCAGACTAACATAATGACACATATATAACCAAGACTGAGTCATAACAGCAGGTATAAAATTCCCATTTTGAGTCAGTATTCTCTGTAAATATTCTTCAACAGACATTAGAAAATAAGAAAAAAGAACAGAAATAACATAAATAATGTGAACGAACACCAAATTAGAAAAGGGAGTTAAAATTTTAATTCCAAAAAGAAGTTTATATGAAGATAAGGAATGTTTTATGGCAAACTACAAAGTGTGAAGTTGTCCTCGTGGCTTGATACTTTATTTTCTTACTATTTTTCCTTAAGGAAGATATTCAAGCTGAATAAGTAGCACCTGCATAGGTGTGTAGAAATATACTTTCAGTAACAAAAACAGGTTTGTAAATGAAAGTGTATCTACAGATACTTCGGGTGTTTCCTGGAGTTAGGGACTGCTACATGCTGGTACAACCAGAACTCCATAACAGCATTCTGAAAAGTCCTCTGAATCACAAAATCACAGCCTTACAAACTCATTTATGCTGGAAAAGGTGTTCAAGATTATTGAATCCAACCTTAGACAGAACAACATCCCATTGTCAACTAAACCATGGCACTAAGTGCCATTTTCAGTTGTTTTATGAACACCTCCAAGAATGGTGATTCCAACAGCCTGGAAAGTCTATTCCAATGCTTAGTAACCCTTCCTGTCCTGATGTCCAACCTGAACCTCGCCTGGTGCAG